GCTTTCTCCCCGCGGGGGCGCGAAGGAAGCGTGTGGAGGAAGCCGGGGGGGGGATGCGGAGGAGGACCTCCTCGCGTCGTGAACAAACCCGACGGGGGGGGGGTCACTGTTTTCGGCCTCCGGATCACATCGGGCCCCCGGGAGCGTCAAAGAACGATGAGAAACTGGTCCCGGGGAAGGGGTCCAGACCGAGGCCCACGGTGACGAGAAATCACGACGTCGGGGGCCTGGGAAGAAGATGCCAGGACGACGGCAGCTCCGGGCGAGGATCGGTCGAGAGTCTCAGAAATCCGGAGGCTCTGGAGGAGGTGTCGGGCGCCGCGGCCTTCTCTGAGCGTCCCAGGACGCTCCGAGAGCGTGCAGGAGCGCTCTGGAACGGACTCATCCTCGTCCTCTGGCCCCGTCCGATCGGGTGTGGGAGGAGAACCACCTGACCATTGAGAGCACCCCTGGACCCCCGACGTCGTGATTTCTTCACAACGGCGCCGACCCCCAGAGGTCTGGACCCCTTCCCTGGGACCCGCTTCTCATCCTGAATCGTGTTCTGACGCTTCCGGGGCCCGGTATAGGGGCCCCCCGAGGCCGAAAATAGCGATAGCCCTCCCGTCGTGACTTTTGCTCACGACGCGAGGGGGTCTGCAGGACCGTTCCCTCGTGCGTGCCGATGCTGGCTACACCGGTGCGGCGGGCGCCGGCGAGAGGCGAGCGCAGGACAAAAAAAAAAAACGGGGGGGGGGGGGGCAGAGGCACAGCGGGAGCCAGCAGGGGCGGGAGGGGGGTAGGGAGTGGAGGAGGGCGAGGACCCAGACCCCCGACGTCACGATTTGTTCGCACAACGTCGACCCCCCCAGACCCCCTCGCGAGGTGAAAAACAATCACGGCAAGACATTTGTCGCTACTTTCGGCCTCTGGGGGCCCTCACCGGGCGTCAGAAAACGACTCAGGATGAGAAACCCGTCCCGAGGAAGGGGTCCAGACCTCCATGCGTCATGGAAAAAATCATGACGTCGGGGGCCTGGGGACCCCAGACCCCCGACGTCACGATGTTCTCACACAACGTCGCCCTCCAGAGGCCCGGGCCCCCGCCCCAGGACTGGTCTCTCGTCCCGAGTCGTTCTGTTGACGGTCCCGGGGCGCGGTATACGCGGGCCCCCAGAGGCCGAAAATGACGCACAGCCTCCCATCGCGATCTTTGCACCACGCGAGGGGGTCTGGGCACGGGAAGAGTAGGAAGAGGGAGGAGGAGGGTGGGAGGGAGAGGAGGAGAGGAGAGGAGGAGGAGGAGGAGGAGGAGAGGATTCGAGAAAGGAAGGAGGAGGAGGATGAGGAGGAGGAGAGGAGGAGGAGGAGGAGAGGAGGGAGGAGAGGAGGAGGAGAGGAGGAGAGGAGGAGAGGGTGGGAGGGAGAGGAGAGGAGAAGCGGGAGGAGGTGGCACGTGAAGGAATAGAGGGGGATGCCGAGCGGAAACGAGCAGAAAGTGGGGGAGGGTGCACGGGGCCAGTGCGATACGGGAAGGGGGGGAGGTCTGGGAGCTGTGGGATGAAGTAGAGGAAAAAGAACCATGCACATTCACCGATGTTGGCCAGGTCCATCCTGAGCCCAAGATCGGTGCAGACGCCCTCCTGCCTTGGCCAGGAAGGCATATGCACCGATCCTGGGGCTCAGGACCGGTGCATGTGCATAATTCTCTTCGCCCGATGAAGAGAAGAGAAGAAACCCAGACCCCCTCGCATCGCGAAGAGTCGCAGCGGGAGCTGTTGTAGCTATATGTTCGGCCTCAGGGGGCCCTTACCAGGCCCTAGAGCCGTCAAAAAACGACTCACAATGAGACCCTGGTCCAGGCGAAGGGGTCCAGATATCTGGGGGTCGATGTTGCGAAAAAACACGATGTCGGGGGTCTGGGGATGAAAAGAGGAACTCTGGGTAGAATGACGGAAAAGAGAGAAAGAGAGAGACAGAGAGAGAGAGAGAGACGAAAGAACATGAATCCGTCGACCCCTGCTCGCTAGGGGTGAAAAGGCGTGTGAGATGCTTGGCTGCCCCCCCTCCCCCGTTCCCCCGCTCCTGTCGGGGGCGCGCAAACATGGGCTAGCGATCCATGGATGTGGTGCCCGGTCGCCAAATCCAAGGATCGGGGAAGGCGCCCTGCCCAAAATGCTGCCGGCGCCGCCTCGTTCGGAAGCGGAAATCGGCGATTTCCCACGGAAACGGGACCCGTCGCTGATCCACGCCCCCTTGAGATGCATGCCTGCGATCGCCTGGTCCTGGGGTCCAAAGTCTCGTTGGAGTGCGGGGGGGCGCGCGCGGGCTCCCAGGCGCACCATCTGGGGCCACGGAGCCCCTCAAGACGGCCCCGGAGCCCCCAGACCAGAAGACGAGAAAACGCCATGAACAGAAACTTTTGGCGCGCCGGAGGCGCCGCTGGGGTGGCCCAGGCGCGGATCCAAGAAATCCGCGCGGAGCGCCAAAAGTGTATGTTTTAGTGGATATTCCTTCTTCGGCTTAAGACAGCCCCAGAGCCCCCAGACAGCCCCGGAGAGTCCGCACTAGGCGCCGGGATTCAATCCCAAGGCAGTCCAGGAGGAGGAGGAGGAGGAGGAGGAGGAGGAGGAGGAGGACGAGGGGGAGGAGGAGGAGGAGGAGGAGGAGGAGGAGGAGGAGGAGGAGGAGGAGGAGAGGAGGAGGAGGAGGAGGAGGGATCGCCTAAGCACTTCGGAGAAACTCTCCACCCGGAGCCCCCAGACGGCCCCGGAGGGCCCCACCCACTGGGCGCCAGGATTCGATCCCAAGGTAGTTCAGCAGGCCCTCGAGACACAGCCCAGAGGAGAGCCCAACACGACTACGGCCCAGCACGGCGTCGAGGCGGCCCACGGGGCCAGAGAGACGGCTCACGAGTGGTCCAAGAGGACGGCCAAGAGGACTCCAAGAGGCACAAACTTGTACCGAGACCCCCTCGCGTTGTGAACAAAATCATGACGGGAGGTTTTTCCTTATTGTTAGGCCTCCGGGGGCTTTCGGGCCCCTGCACCGTCAAAAAACGACTCAGGATGAAAAACCGGTCCTGGGGAAGGGGTCCAGACCTCTGGGGGTTGCGACGTTGTGCAAAAAGCACGACGTCGGGGGCCTGGGTACTTCGCAATGGGTGTCTGAATGATGCTCGCGCTCCCGCCTCTGCGGGCGCGTGCCAGCCCAGGACGGCCTGAGAGGCCCCCCAGCCCGGCCCACGTCGGTCCAAGAGGCCCTTGAGAAGACCCACGAGGCCGCTCAAAGGACAGAGAAGCCATCCAGAGAGGCCCAGGAAGATGAATTCGCAGGGACACAGGCAGCCCCTCCCCCACGAGATGGCGACCAGAAGACCCCCTAACCATGCCCACGGGAGGCCCCCAAGACGCGCCCCGAAGGTGCCCCAGAGTCCCCAGGAGCTCTGACCAGGCTCTACGAGACCGCCCCGTGTAGGCCTCCAAGAGGCCCCCACAGAAGCCCCGCAGCAGACGTGGAGGAAGAGTACGCATCGGTAACAACCATACGCAGGTAACACCACGAGAAATAGCAAACAACGCACACGGTACGGGAAGCCACACATTTCGTCTTCCAGGAGTCGACTGCATGGCGTAAGACTAACGAGCGAACACGAAGTAAAGGATGAGAAGAAGGATGAGGAGGAGGAGGAGTTAAATTGCCCAAGATGTGGAGGAGGAGGAGGATGAGGAGGATGAGCAGGATGAGGAGGAGCGAGGCGGAGCGAGAAGGAGTGAGAACAAGAGGAAGAGCAGCAGCAGCAAGGGCAAGGCGGATGAGGGCGAGGACAACATATTGCGATAAGGAGGAAATGCAGGTAAAGGACGTTAACAAACGCAGATGGAGACGGACATGGAACCAGATGGTCCAGGAGAGGGGGAGAGACGATCCCAGGACCAGAAGGCCCCCCGCGAAAGAAGCACACAGCTTCCATCAGCTTCTCCAGGACGTCGGTGGCCCCCCCCACTGTCAAGGCCGATATTCGGGCCGCCCCAGGCTGCCCCACGACGCCCCCCCCCACCCCACCGGAAGGCCCTCAGACGGCCAGATAACGCGGCCCAGAAATTCCCCCAGAGGGCGCCCCCCAAAAGAGACCCCCCTCACGAGGCCTCGAGAAGACCTCCCGACGAAGCTAAGAGAAAGACCCCTAACTGGCCCCGAAGCCCAGTATAACGGTATACGTAGCGAACGATGGGGCAGCTGCATGACGCCCAAACTCGCTCCAAGGGAAGCCCGTCGTATCTTCGTCCTCCAGCTCAGGTGCTCGGGAACTGCTGCATAGCGTGTTGTCGCGGCGTTGGCGACACCCTGTGCCTTGCAAGCGAATGGCGTCTCGCTCCGCTCCGCGGTGCGGGAGGTAAGAAAGGCTGTGGACGTTGACGCCCGGGAACTGGGAAGTGGATAGCGTGTGGCTCCTGAGCGTGGTAGGCCAGAATCGGCGGAGCGACACGCAATCCAACAGTTCCCAACCGTATCGCTCCTAGGCCAGCCCGTCGCAGCTTCCTCCTCCACCTCCTACGTATTCCCTCCCCCTCTCTCGGACGTCAATCCGCCGTGCATGTGTTCGACTTTGTGCGCCTATTTTTCCGCAACATGACCCAAAATGCTCCCCGATGGCCCTCGCCGAGAAAAAAAACACACGTCCGAGCGATGCCGAGCTTCTCCCCGTCCTTCTCTCCCTGCTCGCCCTGCTTCTGCTGCACAATGAGCTCTTGTACAGAACAAGAAGACGGAAGAAATTCCTGACAATCGCATCGTTCGGTTACCCATGGTTCGGAAGAACTGGGTGGAAAAATTGAGTAAGAAGGCGCTAAAGGTAGATTGGGTGTCCGCCCGCCCCCTGAAAAAGAAGGAGGGAAACCCATTCGATGTTTGAAATAGGAACGCGCTCAACATTGATTTGATACATATATATATATATATATATACTAGAACCACGCGCGCGCTTCGCGCGCTCTTAGGTTCTAGCTAGGAGGCGAGCTTGAGTCAACGAAAGTCGCAGGGAAGGGGGCAGGGGGAAGAAGGCCAGAGAGCGCTGAAGGATACAAATACTGGAACCCTCTTGTGATTTTGTGGGGGGCCTCGTCCGGCCGCTCGCTGGGAGTTTGACGTAGCTTCTCGGGAGCCTCTGAACCTGTCGGGGGCCTCCTGGAAGCAGGTTCGAAGCATTTTGGGGGCCGATTTGGGGCTTCTCGGGGCCTCATTTGGGCCTCTTGGGGGTCTCCTGGGGCCTCTTGAGGGGCCTCCTTGGGGCCTCCTGGCGGCCTCTTGGGGCGGAAGGCTCGAGCTTGCGGTTCGTGGTCCCCTTCTGGGCCCCCTCTTGGGCCCGTCTTGGGGCCCTCTTGGGCCATCTTGGGCGCCTCTTGGGCCGTCTTGGGGCCCTCTTGGGCTGTCCTGGGGCCATCTTGGAAGCTTCTTGGGCCGTCTTGGGGCGGTCTTGGAGGCCTCTTGGGCCGTCTTGGACGCGGTGAAAGCCCAAGATGCGAACATGCGAAAAATATACGTTTTCCCATAGGAATGGCACGATTTTTGTTTCTTGGACCTCTCTTGGGGTGCCTCTCGGAACGTCTTGGGCTGATTTTGCGAGCCTTTTGGCGCCTTTGGGCGGCGTTTTGGCGCCTCCTGGGATATGTTGGGCCGGAAGCTCGGAATTCGAGAGTGGCTTTCTCCTTCTGGGACCCCTCTCGAAGTCGTCTTGGGGTTCTCTTGGGCCGTCTTGGGGCCGTCCTGAGCCACTCGTGCGCAGCCTTGGAGCGCTCCCGGAGGCCTCATAGGCCGTCTTGGAGGCCTCTTGGGCCGTCTTGGACGCGGTGAAAGCCCAAGATGCGAACATGCGAAAAATATACGTTTTCCCATAGGAATGGCACGATTTTGTTTCTTGGACCTCTCTTGGGGTGCCTCTCGGAACGTCTTGGGGTGCTTTTGGGAGCCTTTTGGCGCCTCTTGGCGGCATTTTGGCGCCTCCTGGAGCCTGTTGGGCCGGAAGCTCGGAATTCGAGGTTGGCTTTCTCCGTCTGGGACCCCTCTCGAACTCGTCTTGGGGCTCTCTTCGGCCGTCTTGGGGCCGGCCTGGGCCACTCGTGTGCAGCCTTGGAGCGCTCCCGGAGGCTCGTAGACCGTCTTGGGCGCCTCTTGGGCCGTCTTGGACGCGGTGAAAGCCCAAGAGGCGAACATGCGAAAAATATATATATTTTCCATAGGAATGGCACGATTTTTGCTTCTTGGGCCTCTCTTGGGCTGCCTCTCAGAGCGTCTTGGAGGCTTCTGGGACCTTCTTGGTGTCATGACAGGCTTCTTGGAAGGCATCTGGAGCCATCGGAGCGCGTTCCGAAGCCGCCTGCGAACGATCTTGGACGGCGTCCGGCGGTCCGACGAGCCTCCGGGCCCCCCGGGGCCCACATTTGTGGTCGAGGTCCCGGCCCCGGGCCCCCAGACCCGGTGCGCAGTTATATGTGTGTGTGTGTATATATATATATAAATCTGGGGCGTCTGGGAAGAGCCTAGGGGTGAGAACACAGTCTAGAAAAGATCAGGCATCAGATTCGAGAATTTCGCAGAGGCGGTCGGTGGGCCTTTCCTCTGTCACAGTGTCGCGCTGCACACATCGCCTGCCATATATCGAGACCGTCGCCTTAGCAACACGCGACTGGCCCCGACAGTTGTACACTCCTGCTGAGAGTTAAGCACATGGACTTCACTCCAAGCATTTTCTCGAGCAGCAGTCCAGATTCAGATACACGGAAGTTAGACGAAAGAAGAGGCTCCAAGAACACGCCCAGGGTCCAGTCCAGTGTCTTGATTTTTTGCAGCGAACTCTGGAGACAACGAAAGTACCAGATTGTCCTTACGATTTCCGACGTTTGTACAACATCGCCGGCAAGGTCCATGAGCTTCTCCACCTTCTTCGGCTTCGTGCTGCCCGCCATCGGGTCTTTGCTGCCGTACTGGGTCAAGAGATCGTGCAGGGCGTCCTCGTCGGTGTGCTGGCACACACGGTCGACGAAAGTGTCCTGATCCTCTGAGCAACGTTAAAGGGGGCCTGGCACGGGGGGGAGGTGCATCGACCTGGAATCGGCGATACATCGTCGATAGATCAGCGATAGGCCCCGGATTGCGAAGCCGCACCTTCCTGGGCGGGTTGGGGCTATCGGGCCCCCATCGGCGATCAGTTGGCGATTCCTCCTCCTCCTTCTCCTCCTCCTCCTCCTCCTCCTCCTCCCTCCTCCTCCTCCTCCTCCTCCTCCTCCTCCCCCTCCTCTTCCTCCTCCTCCTCCTCCTCCTCCTCCTCCTCCTCCTCATCCTCCTCCTCCTCCTCCTCCTCCGTCCTCCTGGGGGTCGATCCACCCCCCCTTAGCCTGTACCCCCCGATGGGTGGCCCTGATCCTCGTAGATCGAAGCCCAGTCGCTTTCCGAGCCCTCGATGTCGAGGTTCGTGACGATCTCCCTCATGACCTTGGTGCGCTTCGCGGCCTGTTCTTCCTGAGCGGCTGCGGCAGCGCGAACGAGCGGGCTGGACTGGTCAACTTCTCCGGCTGCCCTGCCATCATCCGCCATCCACCATCCGCCTCTTACTCCTCCTCCTCCTCTGCTTCTTCTTCAAATTCCTCCTACTCCTCCTCCTTATCCTTATCCTGCTCCCCCTCCTCATCCTCACTCTCCTGCTCCTCCTCCTCCCTCCGCTCCTCCCTCCTTCCCATCCCCACGTCTCCTCCCCTCCTCTCCTCTCCTCCTTCTTCCTCCTCTCTCCTCCTCATCCCCCTTCTGCTCCTCCTCGTCCTCCTCCTCCTCCTCCTCCTCCTCCTCCCTCCCTCCCTCCCTCCCTCCCTCCCTCCCTCCCTCCTCCCTCCTCCCTACTCCTCCTGGTAGCACTGGTAGCACTGTGAAGCGTGTCCGTGCGAGGACAGAAAACACGCGCCTGGTAAAAGATGCGGCCCAGCCCCGAAAAATTGAACCTCCCTGAAAGTAGTAAATCGTACACCTTGCTCCCGAGAGCTCCTTTCTATGCTGGGCACGAAATCAATCTCATCCTCCAGGCGAGGGCCCTCCAAGGGGGTTCAACACCGACGGGCTGGCATAACCCAGAATAGCCGGATGAGCCCACCACGTGAGGACAAAAGTCAAAATCCTCCTCTTCCTCCTTGATTCCTCAGTCCGCCGCATCCCGTGCGCTCCATCCCCCATGTGAGGGGGCTAGGCGTAACGGTATGGCCGTCGAGAAGGTGAAGGCGGTCCCCGGCACACATCCTCGCTGCAGCTTCCGAAGCTCACTGCTGACGCAGGGGGGGAGGCACTCGCCCATGCCAGGGAGCCACCTCTTGTCTGCTGCCTCACTCGGTCCTGTTCCATGATGCAGAGCTGCAGGAGTTAGTGCGCCTCCCCATGATATAGCCCCAACAGAGATTACAACAAACAGTTGGCATACTACTCCCATCAATCCACCCCATGCTTAGGGAATGGTGAAGAGCTCGGCGCTTGCTAATTGCCTCGGTGAGGGAGGGGGAGTAATCTTGTGAGCAAGGCCTCCTGCATTGAGGAGTGACCCTGTCCATACAGATGGCGCAACGGTAACCCTTGCCAGTTCAAGTGGGCGAGTGGGAAGAGACAAGCGGGCAGGGAGGAGGGGGTTGTGGAACCTTGGACAAGGGGCCAAAATACTCACGCGAGGGGGCCAGCTGGCCAGAACCCTCCCTGCACATGTCACGAGCTCGACATTTTCTTCCAGGGCCAACGAGCAGTCCGCCAGGGAGCTGGGATCAACGTCGTGATTCAAGGCGGCATCCTGTGCTAGAGTGTCCGCCGTCCGACTTCATAGGACTTGACACGTGAGAGTGTGCGTTATCCTCCTCCTCCTCCTCATCATCATCCTCTTCTTCTTATGTATATCATTATCATTCGTATTCATCTTCTTTTTGTGTGTCTCCTTCATTGTCTGCTTCCTCCTCCTCATCATCATCCTCCACCTCCTTCTCCTCCTCCGTCTCCTCCTCCTCCTCCTCCTTCCCCTCCTCCTCCTCCACCTCCTCCTCCTCCTCCTCCTCCTCCTCCAACTCCTCCTCCTCCTCGTTTTCCTCCTCCTCCTCCTCATCTGAAAAAAGTGCTGTTCAGACTCTGGGGCGCCCCCAGACTCTGGCGGTTGGGGGTTGCTCCGACTTTGTCTCTCGTTGTCCGACTGTGTCTCCTCGCTCATACCCCCTGCCTCCTTCTCCTGGTCCTCCTCCCTGTTTCTCTTCCTACTCCCTCTTCGCCTGCTTTTCCCAGTCCTTTTCTTCCTATTCCTCCTTTTCCTCCTCCTCCTCCTCAACCTCCTCCTCCTCCACCTCCTCCTCCTCCTCGCCCCCAGTGCGCCCAGGAGGCTTTCAAGATGGCCCCATGACGGCCCAGGAGGCCCCAAAGACGGCCCCAAGAGGCCTCTAAGACGCCCAATATGGCCTCCAAGACGGCCCTGAAGCGCCTCAAGAGGACCCCACATCAGTTCAGAGAGGCCCCCAAGACGGCTTCCGACGGCGTCAGACCCGTCAGACGGGCTAGGAACGATTTAAGACTGCCAAGGAGAGGCCCCCAAGACGCCCCCACGGCCCCCAAGAGGCCTAAGGAGGCCCCCAAGAGGCTTCCAAGAGGCCCCCGGGAAGCCTCCAGGAGGCCCCACAAGAGTGCCCAAAGAGGCTCCCAAGAGGCCTCCTCCTCCTCCTCCTCCTCCTCCTCCTCCTCTTCCTCCTCCCTCTCCTGATCCTCCCCCTCAGCCTCCCCCAAGTGTTCCCCGAAGAGTTTCCGGAGCGGCTGGGGGAATACATAATCAGAGAGCTTGGCCAAGCTGGGGCCCAACGTTTGGCCACATAGGCGCTTCTCAAAAAGGCTGGGGGCGGCGGTGATTCGCCGTAGGCGTCTTGGATCCGCCGCCCCCTGTGCTTGCCACAGGGTTGGACGGCGTGCCAGACAATTTGCTGAGATTCTGATTTTCAAACCCTTCCCAGTGGCCTTCGGCCCAGACCGCCTGCCCCTCGGAAGGACCAGAAGGTGTGGCCCACATCGCCACCAAGACGGCCCAAACGGCCCAATATGGTCACCAAGATGCCACCAAGGCGGCTAGGATCGCTCCAAGAGAGCCCAAGACGGCTCCAATATGTCTCCAAGACGGCCCAAGATGCACCCGAGGCGTCCAAGATGGCCCCAAGATGGCCCAGGACGGCCCCAAAGGCCCCCAAGAGGCTTTTAATGCAGTCCAAGAAGCCTCCAAGGGGATCTGCAGGAAGGCCCGAAGAGGCCAAGACAGCTGATTTCCCGTGGGCTCTTGATGGATTTTAACGTTTTCGGCCTGCCGACGGCCCAGTGCCGCCGAAGAGACCCCCAAGATGGCCCCAAGAGCGCCCAAGAGGCCTCCAAGACGGCCCCATGACGGCCTCCAGACGGTCCAAGAGGCCCCCAAGGCGCCTCCAAGACGGCCCACGAGAATTCCAAGGCGCCCACGATGGCCTTCAAGACGGCTCCAAAACGTCCAAGATGGCAACGATACGATTCGACATAGCCCCAGGATGTCCCAAGACAGCCACAGAGGGCACCAAGGGCCCCAAGGGGATGCAAGGGGCCTCCTAGACAGTCTAGGAAGTCTTCAAGAGGACCTCCAGGAGAGCCCGAAATGCCCAAATGGTTGTATTTATTCCCTTCAATTGTTGAATAATTTGGGCGCGTTTTCTTTTTCGGCTGTCCGACGGCCCAAGATGTCCACAAGATGGTCCCAAGACGGCCCAAGCTGACTTCACGATGGCCCCAAAAGGGCCCCAAAGGGCGAGGAAACAGTCCAAGAGGAAGAGCAAGAGGAAAGGACGGAATCAGAGGCCCGAAGCGGCTCCGAGAAGCCTGCAGCTCAGCGCGGGCTCGTCTGCGGACGCCCTTGCCCCCCCAGGAAAAACATATCACCCCGAGGCCCGGTGATGTTTTGTGGGCCGCCATCTCAAAGCCCCACGGCCAGCTTTTGGGTCGAGGAGGAGGAGGGGCAGGAGGACGAGGAGGTGATCAACAGGAACCAGAGGAGCAGGAGCAGCAGGAGGACGAGGAGTTTGAGCAAGGGGTCAAGGACGGAATGATAGGCCAGAAGCGGCTCCGAGACCAAACCGCGCTGAACTGCAGGGTTTTCGGAGCCGCTTAAGGCCTCTCATTTCGTCCTTGTCCCCCTGCTCAACCTCCTCGTCCTCCTGCTCCTGATTCTCCTGGTTTTGCTCCTCTTCTTCCTCGACCCAAGAGCCGGCCGTGGGGCCTTGAAATGGCGGGCCGAAAAAATGTCACCGGGGGCCGAGCTGCAGGCTTCTCGGAGCCGATGCGGCCAAAAAGAGGCTGCCCTGCAGGCTGTCTCGGAGCCGCTGCGCCAAAAGAAGGACACCTTGTCGGTTTAACTACTAGGTCGCTTTGTCGGCTGATTTCGGGCGCGTCGTCATCGTGGTCGTCGTTGTCATCGTCGTCGTCGTGGTCGTCGTCGTCACCACCATCGTCGTGGTCGTCGTCGTCGTCGTCGTCGTTGTCGTCGTCGTCGTCGTCATCGTCGTCGTCGTTGTCGTTGTCGTCGCCGTCCATAAGATGGACCCGAGAGGGCCCTAAGAGGGCCCCAAGAGAGCCCCAAGAGGGCTCCGAGAGGGCCCCAAGAGGGCCCCAGGAGTTGTGCAACAACCCAGCGGCCGCTGGTACATAACTCCTGGGGCCCTCTTGGGGCCCTCTGAGGGCCCTCTTGGAGCCCTCCTGGGCCCCTGGTTGGCCCATGAGAGGGCTCCAAGAGGGCTCTAAGAGGGCCCCAAGAGGGCCCCAAAAGGGCCCGAAGAGGGCCCCAAGAGGGCGCCAAGAGGGCCCCAAGAAGGCCCCAGGAATTATGTACCAATCCAGCGGCCGCTGGTACAGAACTCCTGAACCCTCTTGGGACCCTCTGAGGGCCCTCTCGGAGCCCTCTCGGACCGCTGGTTGGCCCTGTAGGTCCCCAAGAGGTCCCCAAGAGGGCCCCAAGAGGGCCCCAAGAGGGCCCCAAGAGGGCCCCAAGAGGGCGCCAAGAGGGCGCCAAGAGGGCTCCAAGAAGGCCCCAGGAATTATGTACAAACCCAGCGGCCGGTGGTACAGAACTCCTGGGGCCCTCCTCCTCCTCCTCCTCCTCGGCGACGACGACGACGAGGAGGTGTAAACGCACCCTTACCCAGCCCCTGCAGGACCAGGCAGCGATACTTGGACCAAATTTCCTGGCCCCTGTTTCGACCCCAGAACTCTCGACCCCGTCCAGGAGCTCCCGACCCCAACCCGGAGCTTTCGGCCCCATCCTGGAGCTCTCGACCCGCAGACGACGGCGACGACGACGACGACGACGACGCCTCGACCTGGAGTGGTAAGTTTTGCTGCTGCTTTTCCACAGGGGTTTGGAGCCCTCGGGGCCCAGGGGGGCCCCGAAACGGATCCGAAGCCTCAAATATTTCCGGCCCGCCACCGACGACCGGCGACAACGACGACGACGA